GTGTGTGTGTGTGTGTGTGAGTGTGTGAGTGAGTGAGTGAGAGTGACCGAGAGGACGAGGACATCCCGGAATGGGTGTTAACCTTTTTGTGCAGTGTGTGTATTTGATCATTTCGGTTCCAACTAATAATCACATTCAAGTGCAGTACCACAGTAAAGAAAAATGTCGAATTCATCAATTTTAATCCTGTTTTGTATCAACTACTCAAGAACAAATGTTTGACACAGTGGTGGGATCCTTTCTCTCACCTGCCCTGCAGTGTCCAGAATCTCCATGGAAACAACCTCATCATCAATGTTAGCTTGATGCCGATATGTGGATTCTGTAGGACACAAATACAACAAAATTCAATCCAGTGTGGTGAATCATTTGATACCAGTGACACCTGACTCCACCTGATGAGCTCTATTCTTTCCATGTCAGCTTCTTACTTTAATTAAAATAACTTTTTATCCCTTCATAATTTTTTATGGTTATAGTGAAGGAGATGGGGAGAAATGGGGAGGGAGAGTAGGGGAGCAACACACAGTAATAGAGGACTGGGGACCTGCTGCTCAAGGCGTATGGTATGTGGCCTTATTATTTGCTATAGGGTTGCTCCTGGGCTACATTCTTAACATGTTCTCAGCTACCGTGTTCTCATCTCAGCGGACATTCTTAGCAGGTTGTTGGACTCTCCTTGCTGCCGGGAGATGGCTGACTCCCATAATGACCTGAAATGGCCTGAGCTTCAACTCTAGCTGGGTTGAAAAACAGGATAAGCGCTTCTTATTCCTGGCACAGGAACACAGGTGTGAACTGTGACTGTGACCTTTCATTCCACCTTGTACAGGGCAGGAGTTATCTGCCTGAATTGCTCCCTTGTAAAAAAACTCCCATCTGTGTAAACACTTCGCAGAGAGAACCGATGCACACCCCCAAAGCCTTCTTGTAAAGACAGATTCTGTATGATTTCGCCATCATTGCTACCAGATGGGTTAAGCCAGCACTTTATCAAAGCTTCTTGAGGTTGTGACTCCAGTCTTGCAAGTGTTTCATCTTCTGAGTCATATCCGGCCTGTTCTGTTGCCATCTCTTGATGTGTGGTTATTTTGTCAAGGGAGACCATTGGAAATCTTTTTTCATTTTACAAGCAAGAAGAAATTCAATATTAGAAGAAAGAGACCAGATTTTAGTATTTTCCTTTTGAATTATTAAATCATGTCCCTTCCATCACTGTGCTTTTTCCGTTCACCATGAGTTTAGAAATGTATGCTTAGGAAGTGGGTGGTTCTGGAAGCATTTTTCCTCACGACCTTTTCAGTTTCCTTTTAATGACATCTCTTCATGATATCTTACTTATGAAATCAAAATTCTACAACATAGAAACACAATAATGCAGAATATTTCTACAGTGTAATCTTGTGTCTGGTGCAGCCAGTGGATGTCTGTAAACGCAGGAGCAAGAAGCTTGTGTCAAGTTATTGGAGGTTTTAAACTGTAAAAACTTGACCAACATCTGATTTTTACGATTTCTGACTATTCTCAGGGAATATGAACATTTAAATGGTTTTGCCTTTACGACTTAGCTGCTACCCCAATGATATACAACCATTTGTACTCCCTGTAATTAAGTGCTTAGTTGAAAAACTCATGTAAACATGATACATAAGACCTGTCAGAAAGATGTTGAGACTTTGTGACAGGAACGTTTAAAATAGCACATCTGAAGCTCTGCTGTTACTCCAGTCCCTGCACGTCTACCCCACTGTGTCCCAGGTGTGCTCTCTCCTCCAGGATAAACTGCGTCCTGTGACGTAAATGAAATGTCACAGAGAGCCAGAGGCGGAAGTGGGAAGGCGATTTATAGCTGTTTGGCCGGAGGCATGAGGAGCATCTCTGGGGAGTACCAGAGTCTTGACACTGCGACTCATGGGACTGCCTATTTCAGGAGCCATCACTCTGTCAGCTGCAAACACCAGCAAATCAGTCTACATCCACCCCCTCTGTGTATCAGTTGCTAAATGTACTGACAGGCCGCAGGGCCAGGATGATTTATCCAGCCCTACTATTCTTTCTTAAGGTCTTGGAGAGAAACACACTCAGTAATTTTCCTGGCACCAACCAATTTATCCCTCATAATTCAAAACTCCTCACTGCCTGCAGGCTGCTTTGGCAGGAGACAGAGAAAGTGTCACGCCAGACTCCAAGTGTCAAAAACAAAAGCCAGTCAGCCAGGCCATCAGTGCATGCTGCTCTAAAAACAACTGGTTCAATATCAAACCTGCTTTATTGTAACTTATTTTCCAAATATTCTCACCAGAAATGTAATTACTCCACACATCTGATGCAGTATTGTTGATGTTATGATGCCAAACTGCTGCAGAAGAAGCCACGTTAATTCTCTGAGCAAAAGAAGATAAGACCATAAGTAGCTTGTGAACATGGGCAGAAATCACTATTGCAATACTGTGCCCATCAGTATTCTGAGCAGCTGCTGTGCACAGGGAGTGAGATCCGACTAGTCAGCTGAAGAGTATGCACACACTTGCAGTATCTAATACCCACAACATACACAAACTTAGACTGCGTTTTACTGAGTGTATATGGCAAGCCTGTCATAAACAGTTATCTCCCCTTTATGTCTGTAATATGAGATTGCGCAATTATTGTTGTTTAGTTAATTGGACATTTAACTTTATTAATTGGTTGATTACTGTAAACGAATTGCAAGGCTCCTGTATCATAGTCCCAGAAATTGAGAGAAAGGTAACATTGCACACTTGTGTGTTCGAGTTAGCTGACGTCTCTGAACCACCACAGTGAGTTATGATCTGTTCAAATTAAAAATATACAGCCCAGCAGTGCAACAGACGTGGGAAGTACTTTGCCCCGTGATCCAGCAGAGGGCACTTTGCTTGACCTATCGCATGCCCTCTTGACCTACCACAAAAGTACGTCAGTAGTAATGAGTTGTTTTACCACAAAAATGGAGGATGTTATGCAAGCACAGCCTTCCGAGTAGACAATCGTGACAACAAAGCATCGATCTGAGATGAATATATTTAAATGTAATGCATTTCATGTCAAACTAATTTGAGGTAAATTTTTGGAGATAGTGACAGCCATTAAATGCACACTCTCTACCTACCTGTTATAATACCACACATTATAAAAAGCCATCAGTGGGATTGTTGTTGTGCTGTATTTTTAGAGGAAAAAGAAAGTGCTGGAGTTCTGTCCTTGCGGAAAAACCTTTCAGTTCCTGGAAGCTCTGTTTCTGTTTTCTCACCTTAAAACCTTGAAATATCAACAACCGCCACAGGCACGAGTTGTAGCACAGAGGCTGTAATGGCAACAAGATTGTGATCATCCGGTTCTTGCATGTAAGAGGTGACCTGTTTTGAAGAAGAGTGCAGTCTGTTTATGCTGGTAATTGCATTATGCTGGGATGTTGCACCTGATATTTCCTCAGAAACAGATGTGCTGTTGTGTCAAGCGCCATGTGAGCAAACCAGAGCCTCTGACTGACTGAGCCAGGAAATGAAATGCACCTCAGAGAGGAGGAATGATGTCTTTGTGTCCTATAATTACAGTGTAAGAAATTAGCTCAGTCAACATCAGTGCATATGGAAACCTATTCTATATTCTGCACTCAGGCAGGAAAAACGCTTGTATAAAACCTAGTAGCATCGTCCTGAGTTCAGCTTTCGATCACTGAAACTAAACAATGTAATCCACACATCGTCTGATTAAATATTTAATCTCTGACTTTACTTTTTTCACTCGCATTTGATGCATAATGGAGTGTAGCTATTTTTTTATTTTTAATATATTTTCAGTGTAATCAGGCTGGTAGTGTTCATTGTTCTGACTCCATTTAATTAGTATTTTTCATAAATTATGAACGTATATTTGAGTATAAATTGGCAAATTCTCACATCCCATTAAAGCTTAATTCTTCTTTACCATATAAATAGAGGCAATTCTTTTGCATCTTGAGGTCATATGGGAGGTCAAGGCCAGAAGCATCATGCAACATCTTAGTCTGGTGTTTTGTTTTGAGCTCTCAATTGTACATTGTACTTTGCTGTCATCTGTAAACTCATTCCTTACTGTTTGATATGATGATGCTTGCATTGGTGGTAAAAGAGGTTAGTGGTGTTTGGGTCTGTTGTGACAAAAGTGGCCTTGCTTTTAGATATGATTTTCTTGTACAAGTAAATTCAAATAAAAAAATTATCTTCTTCCCATAAAACCACCAGTTGATGTTTTTACATTTGGTCTACACTCACTTTAACCCCTGTATGGAAATGAGATACAGTTACTGAACTTTAGAGGTGTCAGTAAGTGGATTACCAGGTTAGGTGATTCCCCTGAGTCCTCATGCTACGTTTATAACCACATACAGGCTGTAGCTGCAGAGAGAGGTTTCAAACGTGTCCTCTAGCTCTCTGCAAGAGAGAGTAGTAGAGTGGTGATGCATAGCATTGATTGCAGCAGCAGTTGTACTGTTAACATTGCAGTAGGGATAGAAAAGGAGACAGCAGCAGTATTAATGGCAGCACCAGTGGTCATAAAAACAGATATCTCTTTGTCTTACCAAGTGTTGGGTCATACTCCCAGATGAAGCGTCTGGTTAGAAATCTCACCACCAAAGCTGCAGAGAACAACAGATAAAAACATGTTGAGAATATTTCAACTTCTCAGGTTAATCTTCATTTCTTCCAGAATGTATTAAGTACGAATTATGTTGGAATAGCAGGATTCTGTTGAACTGTATATTGAATGAAAAATATACCTGAAGTGCCCGACTGTCGATTAATGATTGCGCTGATTATTAGGCTTTGGGCTTAATATGAAATCCTCTACTTCAACAGCTAATCAGTTATGGATAAGCTCCCGAGAGGCCACAAGATCCAAAGCACTTCAGAAGACTTTTCATCTAAATGCTAATACCTATTTGATCAGTTCCACATCATTAAGGCAGAGTTCAAACAGCCTTCGGGATGAAACATTGGCTCTCAAAGTTCATCGTCAGCTGCATCTCTCATATGGGCTATTTAGTCTGCCCTTTACAACATCGGCCTTCATCAGAAATAAAAACAACATCCCCAGCAGGTCAGTGACTCACTCACTTAATGGCTTACCATCAACAAGTAATCTGCCGCATGATCGCCTTTATTAGACAGAATTAGGAGGCCTCTGTCTGAGTGTGGATCAAACAGAGCTACAAACCAGTCTGTTTGCTATTGATTGAAACGACCTGTTATCACCACTTTGAAATGTGGATTCTAGGATGGTGGTGCACAAGGTTTTAGAGTTTATGTCTTGAAAATTAAAAAAGAATTCATTGCCCATTCAAGATCTGACAAAAATCTCAATTTGGATTATGTCGGGTTCATCTAGCAGCCAAGATCTTCTCTGATTTGTTTACTCATTAGACCCCCACTCCCGGAGGCGTCTGTTGCTGAAGTAGTGGGAATATCCACACTATTGTTTTCCTGTGTCGCTGCATACGTCTGTATTGTTCAACCAATTTTAATAATTCAAATATCCAAAGATTAAGCTCGCTCAGGACATTTCTGCTTTGAGTTTTCTTTTGTTTCACCTTATTTATTTTTTTAATATTCACCTTTACTGCAATTTTTATAATGTGTCTATGGGAGACCTCTGTGGGACTTCTACGACGCATGCCACTGCATATGTTTTGTTTTATGTTGTTAATATCATGAGAAATTCACAAGAGTTAAGTGGCAAATAAATTGTGTCTTAGTATCTTGCTGTGAATAAGAAAAATAACCCTAGTGCATTAGAATAGTTCATAGAAGAGTGAAAATGGGGAATGCTTACATAACTGATTGTCTTCTCTGAAGAATGACCCTGCACATTTGATGGAGGCGACAAAATCAGTAGAGCATTAAAGACCTGCAGCCTGATGTAATTTCAAGGTCAGTACACAGGCAATATTTTTCTCATTATAATTCAATTTAGTACATTTTTTTTGTGATGGGAGATAATTCATGTAATTTAAAACATCAGGTTTTATACCTACTTTTATCCACACACCCCAGACGTGTGCCTCAGTTCTGCAGCTGTTTATTAGTTTCTACTTTCAGTTGACTCCATTTTTATACAAAATGCCACTGAGTCAAATGACTCGGATAGACACCAGTTTTTGTTGGCTCTCGTTTGGTAAACAAGCCAATTCGTCCTCTTTATTTTGGAAGTGTAGATGGAACTTTCGTTGCGATGTTATTATGTGCGTTGAACTTCTGGGCATTGGTGCATAAGTAGCCATGAACGTACTTTACTGGCAGTGGGAATAGAGTCAATTGTATTTTTTTATGGTAGGTTTACTTGCATTTTAAAACCTGGTCTAAATGTGTTATAGGAAGGGGCCTATGCTCTCCAACAGGACAAGGAAGCGCACCTTTTTAATCTTGAAGTGAATTAACATCTGTCTTTTTCAGTCCCATACAAGAGCAGTATTTGGCATTTTGTCAGTTGCCAAGACACCAACAAGCAACTGTTCACACTTCCAGTCCACTTCTCTACAGGAGTTGTCATGTGCCTGAATGACTTCCAATGGGCCCGTGTAGTCCACTTGAGTCCAGGCAGGTATCTGTGTCCTTGTGATCTTATTGAGCTGCAGCTTATAGAAATGAGACAATGGAGAAAGAGCTCTGCCATTGAACTGGGGAAAAAAACATCCATCTTGGCTGAGCCTGTCTTTGCTCTTAATTAGCCACAACAGACAATGGGAAGAAACCAATTATGTCAGCCAGAGCGTCTCTGCCATGTTTCATTACTTTTCTAAAGAACTCGAGTGTGGCCTTTGAGCTCAGGGCAGTGGTTGATGATTCAATTTGTCATTTGTATGAATAGAGTTACTACAGAAAACTTCACTCTGGTTTTGTTGTATTACTTTTTTCTGTTGCAGGAGACCGATACCCGTTTCTTCCCTGACCACATTTACTTCTCTTGTTCGGTGTTGAATTTTTCCCACTGAGGGAATTTCTTGGCGTTTCTGCTACAGTGGCCTGGATTCCAGGTAGACAGAACAACCAATGGGGTGTGAAGTCCTTTCCTCATTAGAGGTAACTGTATCTCCTGCTTTTCACTGCCACTGGAAAGAAATGTACACATGGAAGAAAGGAGCCTTTGTTTTCGTGCGTCAGTATGGACATTGTGGCCCAGATTCACTAAGGTTTGCACAAGGATTCGTGTGCTCTGAGCTGACCAGATAACAAAGACAGGCAAATGTGTGCAGTGAGAGGAAAGCTGAGATCAGTGCTGGTTAAGAAAGAAGAAGAAGAGGAAGTCTCTCTGCACCTGTCAGTCAGACTGCTTTGGAGACTTCAGTCTTGTTGTTCGTTTTTCATTTTAATTGAAGGATTAGATTGAGGGTTAGCTGAGCGGTGATAAAGGTTCTCCAATCTCAAATTTCAGATCAGGTGGCACAACTGTAGCTCACCTGGTTAAGCAGCAGCCCATCATCCCAACTCTGTCTCTCCACTGACTGTCAGGTAAAGGCAAATCAGCTATAACAATTATAGGGGTTCAACTGTGCCTATAAAAAACTTTGTCTGCTGAATGACATAACAAAAGCATACTATCTCTAATAGATCTAGAAGATTCTGACCAATCACTGTATGCTAACCCTAATGCCTGTTTGGACGTAATGCTAGTGTTCCCCCCACCCTAATTTAAAAATAAATCGGTATGTAGCAGCTAAATAGACACATTTTGCATTATGAAGCAACATTTCAGACTTACTTTTGCCAAGTAACAAGAAACACAACTCAGAATCACTGGCAATCTTTGTCAGATGGATTACACATTCAATTGGTTATTGATTTCCAACACTTTCCTCCTCCAGTCCACATGCTTGAAGTGTCCTTGGGCAGGACACTCACCAAAAATGTTAAGCAGAGGATATTAAGTAGGCAAAAAGACACTGCAGTATTTGTCATAACAGTATGTGCTTGCTAACGTTCGCTAATATTGGTCATCCTTTGGTATGTGTCAGACCAGACCGACTTAAACAGCTAAACCACATACTGCATTAAGCCAGAATGTATTCATTGCTGATGAATTAAGATTTTTATTTGATGTTTTATAGAGAATATATTATTTGTTAGACAGACTCATTAGTTCCCTAATTTTCTTCCATGTTGATGTTGAATGTTTTTACAGTTTGACAAGCCTCTTAAGTTTAATGTTGATGTAGCAGTGGGCAATACAGTATCAGCAGGGGGGCTGGAGAGAGATGTTCTGGCCATCACCTGCACTGACACTTTTTCTCACCTGAAAACTGACAGGTGTTGTGTTTATACCCTCATGTCACTACAACGTGGGGGTTTCTTCTTCCTCACATACAGTGTAGTGCTGCCACTGTGAAGCTTGTCTTATATATAATATATTGCATCTGACAAAATCAATACCTGTTGCCTTCTAGACCAATAGGCTATTGTGCTACTCTCCCTCTCAACCTGTAAACTGGATTTTCACATCTTGATATTCCCCAACAAATACTGTAGCAGAAGACTGAGTAGACAGACTGATCCGATTTTATCAAATTTATCAAACAACCGAGACTTCAAAAGGCTGTTGCCAGTGAACGGATTGAGCAGTGCCAAGTTCTTAGATTTACGTCAAACACATCATTCACAGGAGGTGTTTGCCAAAAGCAGCTTTTGTCCAAAGTGACCTAATCACATTAGCGACAGAATGTTGGACTGATTGCAAATAAAGCTAGAGCAATTAGCGGCGCCCATGGCCCTGCTCTGATCTGGCTTAGTGTTGCTCATTGAACAGTCTCTATTGATTCCCCATGGCCATCAGACGGACACCCACAGCTCTTTGGTCACTTGGTCCACAATAACACCTCTTTACTGGCTGGCAAATAGGTCTCTCCCAGTGCTGTGCAGCTGCTAAGTTCTGTACCTATTGTGTTCATGTCATGTCAGGTCATGTCATACAGACCAGTTGTGCTGATAAAACTGGAGTGGGAATAGGGACTGGCTGAAAAATCAGGTAGCAGAATAAGAAAGCACTTTATGTGGGAGAGAAAGACTAAATATTTGGTCCAAATTCAGACCTGAATCAGATTTTTAACATCTGTTCTACTGTATATAATGAATTGGCCGCAGAGAGTGTATTTTAGTGAAACCAAGGCAAACTGCAGTAACACAATCTGTGGCTGAACTTGTCTTTGCACTTACCGTGCTGTTGGACATTCAGCTGTAGACAGTTGAACCAAGAGTGAAAGCCAGTTGATGAGATAGTAGCTTTGGACAGCCTTAGGTTAAGCTAAATCTTTTATCTGTAACTGAAAATTACTCATTTTGACATTGTTGATTCATATCATTCCACATAAATAAATGAGACAGATTCAGAATGAAACTCCAGGTTAATCCTGCAAAAGCTAATATAACTAGTGAGGAGGGATGAAATGTTTACTGTTTTCCGTGTAAACCCCATTAACATTCCTGAGAGTTAGTGTTAATTACCATTAAAACTGGCTTTGATTACCACAGTTTGAAACACCTAGCGTAAAATCTGTTTAGTATAAAGTAAAGTTAACAATAGACTCCCACAGGCAGACACGTTGCAGAATGGAACGTGGGTGGGTTTTTTTTGTATCAATGAAAATAC